GGGTGCGCATATTTTACTTACGCCACCTTCCGCCGAGCTTCCGCCGGCTTCCGCAGGCGGAGGCGGCCTCGCTTTACTTCCGCCGCCCTTCCGCCGCCTTCTGCCGCGGAAGAGATGACAACTCCTTCGATCCTCGAAGGCGAGGCCCTTCTAAGAACGCTCCACATGGGAGTCTCAAATCAATACTTGGCCTGAGCGTGATGTTCTCGGGGACGCCCATGCGCCTCGGGACTAGACAGGCGAGCGGGGTCGGGACTGTTGGGGGCCTCGTCTACAGAAAACTGAGACCTCGGAGGTCGAAGGAGGAAGCAACTCGATGCCCGAACGGCACGCGTGTCCTCGGGCATCTCTTTAGAGGCCTCCTACATGGGGTCGGAGGAGATGGGGTCGGAGGATCGCGCCGCATCGCCGATGTATCGGCGATGCATCGGCGATGCATCGGCGATGCACCGGCGATGCATCGTCGACGTCGGCGGTGCACCAGCGACGTCGGCGTGAAGGAGATCGGGCTCCGCATCGAGCCGCATCGGTGATGCGCCGCCGATGCGGCGCGATCCTCGGACCCCATTTATCCCGACCCCATCTGGGAGGCCTGGACTCTTGAGTTAAGTCGGGCGTGTCCCCCTACAGGGGGAATGTTCGACGAAAAAAAAAAAGTACCCCCAAAATACCCCTTGAAGGTCAAAAAATATTCAAAACATAGTCCCCAGACTATTTTGGGATTACTTTTGGACAACTTGTGGGGTATGTTTAATTTTTCGCCGAAGGTCCCCCTGTAGGGGGACAGGCCCGACCTAACTCTTGAGCTGGACGGCGCGCCACAGCAGGCCGGCCGGTGCGGAGGGGGCGCCCTCCTCACGAAGGCCGAGAGAGGGCCTCTCCGAGGGGCGCGGCGCGGAGGCCTCCCAACTATGGAGAGCCTCCTCCAGGGCGCATCGAAGGGAGAACAAAAAAAAAAAAACAAAAAACACCGGGCGGTGGGACCCACAGATCGTCGGATAGGGGGCCAGAGGCGAACCCTACCCCTACCCACCACGACTTCTGAGGGGGAGGGCGGGGTTCACTTCGCACGGGAGGTCCCGAACGAAGCGAACCCCATCCTTCTCCTCAGAAATCGTGGGGGGTAGGGGTAAGGTTCGCATCTGGCCCCCTATCGGAGGCGTCCGTCGGCCTCCCCCCCGAGCCCCTCGCCGCGCTTCCCCTCGCCTCCCCTCGGGGGAGCGAAGAATGACAATCAGCACAAAAGAAGGAAAAAAAAAGACAAGCTCGGGGAGGGTCCGCGCGAACTTCTCGATCGGAGCTGGCCCCCCCCCTCCCTGGCGCGCGGAGCGCGCCAGGGGCGGCGCCAGGAGGCGCCGCCGGGGGGGCCCAGCGCGCCTCCGAGACATCCGCGCGGGCCTCCGAGGTTTCATGCTGACACCATTCTCCGCTCCCCTGCCCCCTCGCCTGTCCTCGCTCCCCCCCCGAGCCCCTCCCCTTGGAGGGACCATTGAAGGGGCCCTGGGACACACAAATAAATACACACAAATAAAAACATTCCCCATATTTTCCCATATTTTCTGGGTTTCTGTCTTCCCCCCCCACTTCCCATATTTTCCCATATTTCCTAGGGAATCGAGGATTAATTGTGTCTGTGTGTTTCTTTTCCTCCTGAACCATGGCCGACCCCCTCGCCTCGCTGCCCCTGCGCGTGGCCCCCGCGCCTCCCGGGGCCTGCGGCGCCCCGCTGCCGGCGCGACGCGGGGGCCCCCAGGGGGCCCGCGGCCCCCCCAACGGCAGCACGCCCGCCGGGCCTCAGGGGTCGGGCAGGTCGTCCTGCAGGCGGAATTCGGGAGAGAGGTAGCCCATAGCTGGAGAATGCTTCTACAAAGAGTCCAGCGGTCTCAAAACATCGCCCCCATGCGACTATTGGACCACTTTTGAATCTTCCTCCTGTTAGAGGGGCATGCCCGCCTCAGGCCTGGCCGGCGGCGTCGGACATCTTTGTCCGTCGGTCCTGGGGGCCAACCAGGGTCTGTGGAGGCCCGCCCGAACGGGCTCGTTCCAATCGCGAGCCATTTTCTTGGAGGTCGCAATTTTTTGCTTCCGCCGGGATTCCGCCGACGGTGCCGCCACCGATGTGCTTCCTCCGCCCTCCGCCGGCCTTCCGACGAGGACGAGACGCCGACTCCTTCGATCCTCGAAGACGAGGCCCTGTCTGGAACGCGCCAAGTGATTTGTTTGTCGCAGCGATGTGGGCCACACCGTGTCGGAGCTGGAGCGGGTCGCGGACTACAGCAGATCGTGCACCTGTGCAGCGGAAGAGGCAAAGGAGCGGCAGTGGATCGAGGAGGAGACACGATCATAAGAGGACAGACTTCACGCGCGGCGCTGGCGCCATGATCCACGAGCGCCAACAAAGCCGCTCCCACTTTCTCAGAGCGCTGGACGTCGTCGAAGGTCCGTCGGAGGTCCGGAGGAGGAAAAGGAGGAGGAGGAGGAGGAGGAGGAGGAGGAGGAGGAGGGAGAGGGGAGGATGAGGAGGAGGAGAAGGATTTGCAGTGGTAGGGGGGGGGGGGGTGGGGGGGGGGGGGGAGGGGGGAAGGGAGGGGGAGGGGGAGGGGGAGGGTGAGGAGGGAGGGGGAGGGGAGGGGAGGAGGAGGAGGAGGAGGAGGAGGAGAGGAGGAGGAGGGAGGAGGAGGAGGAGGAGAGGGGAGGAGGAGGATGAGGAGAGAAGGAGGAGGAGGATGAGAAGGAGGAGGAGGAGGAGGAGGGAGGAGGGGAGGAGAGGCGGAGGGGGGGGGTGTACGCCGAGGAGGCTGCGGAGGCGTAGTCGTCGGTAGGAGGAAGAAAAAGGTGTATGTAGAATTAGGTAGTAGGAGGCGTAGTCTTGTAATATAGTGAGTAGGGCGGAGGAGGGGGGGGGGTTGAGGGCATTCTGAGGGCATGCTGATGCGGAGAAGGAGAGAGGAGTATGAGCTGTTTGCTGAGTTGTATGAGGCAGTATAATTGGAGGAGGAGGAGGGGAGAGCTCTGGAGGCTGCCCGAGGCGCGAAGACATTGTTTGCGAACGCTCCTCCGCCCCCCGCCTCCTCCGGCCCGCGCGTCCTTGGGCAGGAAGCCCCAGACGTGCCCGTCCATGGAGGCGTTGCGGTTGTCGCCTTGGCCGGCCACGGGGCAATCTCAATACATCGCAACCGATGGCTGACATGTGAGGTACTCCAAATCCCTTATTAATCGACCCCCCCCCAAAAAAAACCGGACCCCCCTCCAAATGCGACCTAACATTCTGGACTCTCCTCTTCGACGGGGAGCCTTAATAAACCGGACCCCCTCCAATCCAAAGAAAGCGCCCTAATAAACCGGACCCCCCCAATTTTCAGAAAGGCCCCTAAAAGAACCGGACCCGGGGGACGATTAATAAGCGATTTGGAGAGAAAGAGGGAGAGAGAGGTCTATACACATCGGTCGGAAGCAGCAGGCAGGAACGTGAAGCAGGAAGGCGTTGGAAGCAGATTGGGTTTCCTCCTTCCTCCCGTGGAGGAGGGAAGAGGGAACACGCTGGACCCTTGAAGTAGGAAGGCGGCTAAAGCAAATTGGAACCTGGAACTCCAAGAGTACGTACTTTCAACGACCGATGGGTATGTATGTCTGTCTGCCTGCCTGCCTGCCTGTCTGTCTGTCTGTCTGTCTGTCTGTATGTATGTGTGTATATATATATGTATGTAGAAACACGTCCCGGTCCTCGGGAGTTCCCCAGGGACTGGCTTCTCATCCTGAGTCATTGTTGACTGTCCTGGAGCGCAGTTCGAGAGCTAAGGGCAAAAGCGTCTGGCCATGTATTTCACGGTGGCATCGGCGCCCCGCCTGCGGATTGAAGGCAAGCGCGAGGCTCAAGGCTAGCCAAGCCGAGGGCCAGCGCCTTCCACCGATCTGTTCACTGCGATCAGGCGTGCGATCACACGTCCTGCCCGATTGCCCTCACTCCTCCCTCCTCACTCCGACGGGCCGATTCGCCGATCGGCTTGACAGGGTGGGGGTGCATCACTCCCCGATCCTCCTTCTGCTCTCCCGTCCCTCTTCCTTCTGCATAACCCAGCCTCTGTCTCCCCGTCAGGACGGCACGACCATTCCGCGATGGACCTCGCTTGAAGCTCGCCTGCGCGTTTTCCACCCATGCCCATGAGCCCATGAGTATGTTCCCGCTGGGGTCCTGAATTGGTCTACTGCGCAACGAGGGCCAGCGGCAACATCCCAACGAGGCTACATTCCTTGACCACGCCCTCCTCGATCTGTGATGAGGACCCCGCTACGTGCATCGTACACTTTCGACAGAAAGCCACTACGACACCCACTAAAATGCGAACCAGTTCAAATCACAATGGACGGCAACGTAGCAGCACACACACACAGTAAAGCACTGCAGCATGACTCGAGAAAAAGAGCAACGCAACGCAGAGCAAAGCAACTGCAAAGTAGCTGCGAAGCAGCGCAAACCAGAGCGAAGTACTGCAAAAAGAGGAGGGGAAGAGAGAGGGAAAGAGAGAGAGAGAGAGAGCGCAGGGGAAAGGGAAGCGGGGGAGGAGGAAGAGGATGAGGGGGAAGAGGAGGAGAAGGAGGAGGAGGAGGGGGAGGAGGAGGGGGAGGAGGAGGAGGAGGAGGATGAGGAGGAGGAGGCGCGGAAGGACTGAGGGCGGCAGCAGCGCGAGAGCCATGCGAAGGCGGCGGGGGGGAACGCTGGGAGGGAGGGCGAGGAAGGAGGCTCTGCCCCCTGGCCGCGCACATGTCCCCGCGCTGGCTCGGCTACAGAGCGGGGCGCCGAGCACGAACACGCAGCCCTTGGGGACCGTCACCGGGCCGAAGTTGTACCTGGCCTTCTCGTTCGTGAACGGCTCGTCCTGGACCTCACCGTTGATGTACAGCTGGCCGCCTCGGTACAACGAGTGCCAACCTCGATGATCCTCGGAACGCGTGTTCACGCCAGCGTGCGCTGGTCCATCGAAGCCCTTCAATGCGACGCACCTGGCGTCACGATGGCCGGCGCAGGCCGAGCGGGGCTAACACACATTGGGCTAACACACGTCCTGAGGAGCATCGACGATCTCTTCGTTCTTCGCGAGAGCGCCCGTGACTGGCCCCGCGCCCCTCCCCTCCTCCGCCCCCCCCCCGAGGTCACGTCACGTTTCGCGCCGGCGCCGTCGGGGAATGCCACTCGCCAAATGGATTCCCGACGGCGCTGGCGCGAGTCGTGACGTGACCGCCCCCCTCCCTCCCCCCCCCGCCGTCACGCCCGTTATCGCCAGTGGGTAGACAAGTACAGTCGGGGCGTTGACCTGAGGAACCCCAAGTAAGGAACGAGAGAGAGAGAGAGAAGCCGTGCACGTCAGAGGTGCACTGGCAACATAAAGGCCCCTCTTTTCCACGAGTGGAACTGCGCTTTCCCATCGAAAACCTAAGGAAAACCTGAGGCAAGCCGCGAAACACTTGAGGAACGCGGAGCCCCTCCCCAACGCAAAAGGGCCCCTTCTTCAGCGCCCCGACTGCAGTCCCCGGGCGAGGCAGGGTTCGCGCCGAGGCCCACGGCCAGAGCATGCCGCCCGGAGTGCCACGGGTCGCACGCCGCGGCCCTGCAGGGGCGCCGGCGAGGGAGCGCAGGCCTCTCCTCGTCCAGCCACTCGCCATCGCCTGGACGTCCATTCCCTGTGTTTTTGCTTGTCGGTTTCGTGCGTGGTTCTTTCGCCAAATGATCAGGGAGGCTCCTCGATGGTCCTGGCCGAAGGAAAAATGCACACGTCCGAGCGATGCCAAGGCCACGGAGCGAGTGCCTGCGATCAGGCAACACAGGGCGATCGACAGGGGGCATGCCATGAGGGTGTGGTGCGTGTGCAAAGTACCGAGTCGTGACGCAAGGCATGAGGGGCAGCGGTGCATCAACGAGACCAGCTCGACCAATGAGCCGCAACAGACCGTGGCCTGAGAAAACGCGACTCCGACCTGGAGAGATTCTTCCCTGCGCTGGGAGGGGGCCACCGATACTCTGCACCAAACGGGCACGAGCAGAACACGTCGGAAATAGAAAAGCATGGGCAATCACACTCCAGCATCCCCGCAAGAATACTGGCGTGAGAGATGCATATGCTCCACCAGGTTTGCGCAGCAAGAGAATTGTGTGCGCCCATTGGGGCGAGGCGTACTGTGCAAGCGTGACAACCTAAGTGGCTGCAGAACGCGAAGGCGCGCGCTCAATGTACAGATGCGCGCGACCATGTCGACAAACACCTGCTTTGCGGGCTATACATTCGGAGCCGATGCGCCCAACATTGCGCTGAACTTACTGCCCGATCGGGATGACGACAAACGATGTGTCAACGAAACCGACCACTTCTGCATGAGAATATGTGCCTCTCCTCTTGCCCACTCGGAACTAAGCGGGATTCCATTCTTCACCTCAACGGTGTCCCCCTCGAGCGCCACAATCCGCTTGATAAGCGCCTCGATTGAAAGATGGTGTGTAAGTTGATTCGGCCAGATTCTGTCCATCACGTGTTCAACTTCCACCCTCTGATCCATCGCTCCCACCTTGCCTCGTGCTCTGCCAACACACAAGTAAAAACAACTCCACACTGCAGTGTCGAAAGATGTACCGGCCGCTCAACAGACCTGGCGGCGCGACTGGGTGAATCTTGGGGGCGCGCAGAAAAGGGGTGGGTCGAGGGGGGAAGCCTTCTGCGAAGACTGGAGGCTCCTTAGAAACAGCGTCGATGTTCCTACACTCAGGTGCAGACTGTTGGTAGTGGGAGCGCATGTGCACGTATCGTGAGCCATGAGGGCGCCATGAGGGAGCCACGACAACGACGACGACGACCACAGACGACGACGACCGACCGACCGACCGACCGAGACGACGACGGCCGACGACGACGACTCCGACCGACCGACCGACCAGCCACGGTGCGGGACAACTCGGCTGCGCAAAACGTGCGCACTCACCGTCTCCTGGCCAGCTTGGCTGATGCTTCAGCGAAGCTCTTGCGGGCTGCCCGCGCTTGCGGATACCAAAGCCGCTCCTCTGTGGACCTCGCCCAGGGAGCGCCCTCGTCGGGAGCCTGGGGCGAATCCAGCCGTGGCGACGAGCGCTCTCCATAACGCCCGAAAGCGCGGAAACTGGAGAGGCCGAGGAAGCATCGGCGGTGCCTTCCTCAGACTCCCGGCGTCATGAATTTCTCAGAGCGTCGACCCCCAGAGGCACGGAACCCTTCCCCGGGACCGGCTTTCCATCCCGAGCCGTTTTTTGGGTAAGGGCCTCTGGAAGCCGAAGATAGCGAAAAGCCCTCCCGTCATAATTTTGCTCGCGGCTCGAGGGGGTCTGGGCTCCGATCCTCCCCACCACCCCCCGCCATCGTTCGGGTCGGGCGAAAGGGGGGGATAGCAAAGGGGGGGGGTTGAAAATCAGCTCACGTAGCTGATTTTCCCGGCGCCTCCCGGCGCCGGAGGCGGCTATGCATCGAGGAATGGGCCCCTCGGTGAGGCCGAAACCAGCTGCATGCAGCAAATTTCGTACCCCCCCCCTTTCCCGATCCCCCCCTTTCGCCCGGCCCGAATCGTCCTCCGAGGGCGGCGCAGGGCCGGCTCCGAGGGCGACGGCGCGCACTCTCAGGAGGGGGCCCGCGCCGGGCGGCCGAGGCCCGCGGCGGGGGCCGGGCGAGGGCCCTCGCTCGGCGCGGGCTGGTCGGGCAGCGCGGGCTGCCGCGTGCCCGGAGGCCTCCCGGGCAGGGCCCGGAGCTTGCCAGCCTCGAAGGTATCCCTATCCCCAGGATTGGCACGCCAAGAGGCGATGAGAGTCTTAGGGGTTCGGCCTCAAGAAATATAAGGGAATCCCTAAGATTGGCATCGTGATGAGGAGGTGCCCAGCATAGGGGTAGGGATATGCTCCAGGCTGGTAACGAGCCAGGGGGGGGTCGGGCCGGGGAGGCCCCCGAGGAGGCTCCCGAGAGGCCCCCAAGAGACTCTGCCCCCGAGGCCCCCGAGAGCGCTTCGGAGAGACCCCAAGAGGCATCCATGAGGACTCTGATCCACGTCGACGGCGTCGTCGTCGCCGCAACCGCCGCGGCCGTCGTTCCCTCACAGGGTCGGCGGCACCGGCCGTAAGGCCTTCGCCATAGGGTCTGAGCAGATGGGGTCGGACCCAGGCGTGCTCGCGCCGTGCACAGAATCACGACAGGCTTCATGTTGTTAACTTTCTTCATCTGGGGGCCCCGGCCAGGCCATTAGGACCGTCTGAGAACAGCTTGGGATCAAACACAGCCAGCCCTGGGGAAGGAGTCGGGACCTCCGGGGACCCCATGCTGAGCAAATCAAGGCGTCGGATGCCTGGGGTCAGAGGGCCCCCGTCCGAAGGGTCAACACGGCCCCGCCCCTGGGCCAGGTCCAGACCTCTGTGCAGAGACCGAGGGTCGAGGAGCAACAGCCGACTAGAACGAGAAGGGGGGGGGGCACGGCCGGAAGGAGGGCTCGCGGAAAGCCTCCCCCGACTTGTCCTCGCCCACCGCCGCGCTGAAGGCCGGCGGGGGGGTGAACACGACCACGTCCCTGCCAGGAGCCGCGCGGGCTTGCAATCCCAGAGATCCGACGCTCCAAAAAACTTGGAGCGGGCGGTTTTTGGCTGATTTCGGCCTCACGGGGCCCTCGCCGGGCCTCGGGAGCGTCGAAAAACAACTCAGGACGAAAAGCTGGCCCTGGGGCAGTGGTCCGGACCTCTGGGGCCCACGCATCGAAAAAATTGGAGCAGCCGGATGTCTGAGAGATTGAGACTCGCACGAGGCGGAGAGCTGCCCAAGCAGGCAGTGGAGAGAGCTTCTGCTGCGCTCACCCTGCTGACAGGCTGTGCTGGATGTGCCTGACTACCTACCAGACCACCCCACCCCAACCCGAAGACCCGAATTTCGGGTTGGGGGGGGTATGGACTCCATATGTGCTTTTCCAGTGTTCCCGGACCCCCCCCCCACTAGAAATCGAGGGTAAATCTGAGCCTTCGGGTTGGGTTGGGGTGGTTTGGTGGGTGGTGAATGCCTGGCTCACCGACACCAGCGAGAAGCGCGGTGTGAGAGGCAGGGCTGGCTCTGTTCCTGACGAAGGCTCCTGCAGGATGAGCAGACACGTGCTCTGTCCCGGCCCCTCCGTCCAGACCGCGGCGTTCCTGAGAAGCAAAGTGGCGACGCGGCCACCTCTGCCAAAAAGTCAGCCTCCCGGGGCTACTTCTGGGCCCCGCGGGCGGGGCCGTCAGTAGAAGACTGCGGATGGGAAGGCCAATCCCAGGCGTAGGACAGGAGGGTCTTTTGCAAAACGTAAAAAAAGTCCGGGTTTGCACTCCTCCTCCTCCCTGACACCACTGACAGCGGGGCCGTGGATGGATCCATCCCTTGGGTCTATCCTGGCTGGCTTTCCATCCTGGGTCGAAGCTTGGCATGACGGTTCCTGGAGCTCGAGATGGGCCCCCATCCGCCAAAAACCAGGAAAACATCGGCACGACTTCTGCTTATCCTGCTACGTACTGCTACGAAGGGGAACGATAGGGGGACCTTTTCGTAGTACAGAGACATCGGCCTGGTATCGGCAATACAATCAAAAAAAACGGCGCTAGACCACAACTACCAAAACCACACGTCTCTCCGAAAATAGCGGGCTCTCGGGCACCTACCAGCTACTACTACGACTACTACTACTACTACTACTACTACTACTACTACTACTACTCCTACTCCGACTCCTACTCCTACTACTACTCCCAATACTACTACTACTCCTACTACTACTACTACTACTACTACTACTGCTGCTACTACTACTACTACTACTACTCCTACTCCTACTCCTACTACTACTACTACGACTACTACTACTACTACTCCTACTACTACTACTACTACTACTACTACATACGACTGATACTACTACGAACTGATACTACTACTAAGACTACTACTACTACTACTACTACTACTACTACTACTACTACTATGAC